AATAGACTTCATTCTGGGGAAGCAAGGCTGGTTCAACATACGCAAGTCTATAAACGTAATTCACCACATAAACAGAACCAAAGACAAAAACCACATGATTATCTCAATTGATGCAGAGAAGGCCTTTGACAAAATTCAACAGTCCTTTATGCTAAACACTCAATAAACTAGGTATTGATGGAATGTATCTCAAAATAATAAAAGCTATTTATGACAAACCAACAGCCAATATCATACTGAATGGGCAAAAACTGGAAGCATCCTGTTGAAATCTGGCACTAGACAAGGATGCCCTCTCTCACCACTCCTATTCAATATAGTACTGGAAGTTCTAGCCAGAGCAATCAGGCAAGAAAAAGAAATAAAGGGTATTCAAACAGGAAAGGAGGAAGTCACATTGTCTCTATTTGCAGATGACATTATTGTGTATCTAGAGGACCCCATCGTCTCAGCCCAAAATCTCCTGAAACTAATAAGCAACTTCAGCAAAGTCTCAGGATACAAAATCAATGTGCAAAAATTACAAGCATTCCTATACACCACTAACAGACTGAAAGAGAGCCAAATCAAGAACGAACTGCCATTCCCAGTTGCTACAAAGAGAATAAAATACCTAGAAATAGAACTAACAAGGAACGTAAAGGACCTCTTCAAGGAGAACTACAAACCACTGCTCAATGAAATAAGAGAGGACACAAACACATGGAGAAACATTCTATATTCATGGTTAGGAAGAATCAATATCATTAAAATGGCCATACTGCCCAAAGTAATTTACAGATTCAACACTATCCCCATCAAACTACCAATGACCTTCTTCACGGAACTGGAAAAACCACCTTAAACTTCATATGGAACCAAAAGAGAGCCCGCATAGCCAAGTCAATTCTAAGCAAAAAGAACAAAGCAGGAGGCATCACACTACTGGAGTTCAAACTGTACTACAAGGCTACAGTAATCAAAACAGCATGGTACTGGTACCAAAACAGAGATTTAGACCAATGGAACAGAACAGAGACCTCAGAGGCAACACAACATATCTACAATGATCTGATCTTTGACAAACCTGACAAAAACAAGCAATGGGGAAAGGAGTCCCTGTTTAATACATGATGTTGGGAAAACTGGCTAGCCATGTGCAGAAAGCAGAAACTGTACCCCTTCCTGACACCTTACACTAAAATTAACTCCAGATGGATTAAAGACTTAAACATAAGACCTAACACCATAAAAACCCTAGAAGAAAATCTAGGCAAAACCATTCAGGACATAGGCGTAGGCAAGGACTTCATGACTAAAACACCAAAAGCATTGGCAACAAAAGCCAAAATAGACAAATGGGGCCTAATCAAACTCCATAGCTTCTGCACAGCAAAAGAAACAGTCTTTAGAGTGAATTGGCAATCAACAGAATGGGAAAAAAATTTTGCAGTCTACCCATCTGACAAAGAACTGATATCCAGAAGCTACAAAGAACTAAAACAGATTTACAAGGATAAAACAAGCCCATTCAAAAGTGGGCAAAGGATATGAACAGACACTTTACAAAAGAAGACATACATGAGGCCAAAAAACATATGAAAAAATGCTCATCATCACTAGTCATTAGAGAAATGCAAATCAAAACTACATTGAGATACCATCTCATGCCAGTTAGAATGGCAATCATTAAAAAATCTGGAGACAACAGATGCTGGAGAGGATGTGGAGAAATAGGAACACTTTTACACCGGTGGGAGTATAAATTAGTTCAATCATTGTGGAAGGCAGTGTGGTGATTCCTCAAGGACCTAGAAATAGAAATTCCATTTGACCCAGCAATCCCATTACTGGGTATATATCCAAAGGATTATAAATCATTCTACTATAAGGACACATGCACACAAATGTTCATTGCAGCACTGTTTACAATAGCAAAGACCTGGAACCAACCCAAATGCCCATCGATGATAGACTGGACAGGGAAAATGTGGCACGTATACACCATGGAATATTATGCAGCCATCAAAAACAATGAGTTCATGTCCTTTGTAGGGACATGAATGAACCTGGAAACCATCATTCTCAGGAAACTCACACAAGAACAGAAAACCAAACACCACATGTTCTCACTCATAGGCGGGTGTTGAACAATGAGAACACATGGACACAGGGAGGGGACATCACACATGGGGTCTGTTGGGGGGAAATAGGGGAGGGACAGCAGGGGGTGGGGAGTTGGTGAGAGAGAGCATGGGGAGAAATGCCAGATATAAGTGATGGGGAGGAAGGCAGCAAATCACACTGCCATGTGTGTACCTATGCAACAATCTTGCATGTTCTTCACATGTACCCCAAAGCCTAAAATGCAATTTAAAAAAACAGCATGGAGTCCCTGCTCTCCATCTCTCTCTATCTCCTTATGCTGGTTACTTTTCCTTCAAAGCACTGATCACTACTTTATCCCACATCATAGCTGTATAATTTATTTGTTTATTGTCAGAGTTTCCCACCAGAATGGAGGCCTGCTGGACTCCAGATGAGCCAGCTAAATTAGCCACATTGCTGTTGTGGGCTTTTTGGCTACTGTTTCCCAAGTACCCACCATGGGCTGAGCCCTGCACCATGTGCCCATGCCTGTCAATCAGTGCCACCATGCTCCATGAACTAAGGACCAACACAGAGTTGAGCTGCCCCTACAGATGATTCTAAGCATCTTGCTGGGTACAGGGTGGGCATAGGTGTCAGCTTCTCTTCCACGACTGATAAATGAAGATCTTGTATTAGTTTCCCGGGGTTGCCAGAGCAAAATGCTACACATCTGCTGGCGTAAAACAACAGAAATATTTTCTTCCACAGTCTGGAGGCTGGAAGTCCAAAATCCAGGTGTTGGCAGGGCCTTACTCCCTTGGAAGGCTGAAGGGAGGGTCCTTCCTTGCCTCTTGGAAGCTTCTGGTGGTTGTTATCAATCCTTGGCACTCCGTGGCTCGTGGCTGCCTCCTCCAGTCTCCACCTCAGCCGTGTCACGTCCCTCTCCCTGTCTAAGTCTCCGTATCTGAATCTCCCTCTCCTCTTTTTTCTCGGATAAAGACAGTAGTCATCGGATTTAGGGCCCACCCTGATTCAATGTGGCCTCATCTTAACCAATCACATCTGTAAGGTCTCTGTTTCCCAGTAGGGTCACCTTCTGAGACTCTGGGTGGATGTGAATTTTTAGGGGAACACTCCCCGTCCCACCACAGACACTAAGGTAGGAAGATTCATTCACTCTCGGCCCAGGTCTGTTCTGCCTCCCAGCACAAAGCTCTCAATAACCACCCTTTACTGACTCTCAGTTGTCTCCATTTGTGGAATTGAATCAGAGTTTTATTACCTTCAAATTGCTGGGCACGGCATCCTAACAGCATTTCAGGGACCAGGGCCCTGGAAATCTCATTTCTGCTGGTCCTGGCCCTCAAGGGATCAATGTTTTTCACACTCTTCTCTGGATCATTAGAATTGTTCTTCCAAAGGCCGACTTGCCAGACTGAGGCCTTTGTTCTATGTCACATTCCCCAGCTAAGCTTCAAAGGCCTGTGTCTATCTGAAACTCTCCAACACGAGCAGTTGCTTATTATCTATGTATTGCTGTTTAATAGGGAAGTTGGAAACGTGCTCTGGAGGCTCAGTTACAAAATACTGAAAACAAAACAAAAGTATCCAACAAAACACCCAACAACCCTGTCCCGTCTCTTTCATTGGGGCCTATTCATTATTGCTTCACAACTGCCCACAAGTCCAAGTCCCAGTTTGGATTCTGGTTCGTTTTAGTTCACTTTGCCTGTTAACAATCTCTGTGTGTGTGTGTGTGTGTGTCTTCTTTCCCTAAGAAAAATTCTAAATAATTCAATAGAACTTCCCTTTCTTCCTCTGGGTGACAATTCACCCTCTAATGAGTGTCACTGATACCTAATTTCACCAGAAAAAACATCCATCTTAATTTTAATTTATTTTTTAGAGACAAGGTGTCACTCTGTTACCCAGGCTGGAGTACAGGGGAGATCGTGGCTCACTGCAGCCTCAAATTCCTGGGCTCAAGCGATCCTCTTGCTTCAACCTCTAAGTAGCTGGGACTACAGGTGCATGCCACTATGCCTGGCTACTTTTTTAATTTTTTATAGAGACAGGTTCTTGCTATGTTGCCCAGGCTGGTCTTGAACTCCTGGCCTCAAGGGATCCTTTTGTCTCAGCCTCCCAAAATGTTGGGATTACTGGTATGAGCCACCATGCCCAGCCAAAAATTCTCATCAGTTGGAACTGTTTTCTTCTGTTTATTTGCTAGTCTATTTACCAGCTAAACTAAACCAGCAACTAGTTTTAATCAATTGGCCTGCTTGCTGTCCCCCAGGCAACCAAGCTCTTCTCTCTAGGCCTTCACACGAGCTTTTCCTTCTCTCTGGAACTCTCTTCCAGGCAGATCTTCATGGCTAATTCCCTCGCCTCCCTCAGGGTTCTGCTCACATGTCACCTTTGCAGGGAGCCTCCTTTGACAATTCTGCAGAGAGCATGCCCCCAAGGCTGACCACCAGCTTCTATCCCCTTTGTCCCCACTCAGTGCCACCTGAATTATCATATATTGATTTGTTTTTTGTCTGTGCCCTTAATTAGAATGTCTACTTCAGGAGGGCAGGACTTTTTGGTCTTTTTTGTTCCCCCATCTATCCCCAATGCCTTAGAGTAGCAGACAGCATATAGCAAGTGCTCAGTGTATACTTGTATAAATAAATGATCTCTAAGATGCAAACTATATGATTTCATATTTAAATTACTATCTCTTTGTCTATACAAAGAGAGATAGAGAATACCCTTTTACATCATGCCACTAATTTTCTTCTCTTTCCAAGTGTCCTCAAGGTTTCACACCAGGGAGTCACTTAGCCAATTAAGCAACTTTGACCACTGATATTTACATCATGGGGTCTCCATTTTCAGAGGGCATGGACCCTTTAGAGTCTGATGCAAACTGTAAAATTTCTTTGCAGAAAAATGCACACTTTTGGAACATTTTGCCAATGATGATGGAATGTGGACTGTGAGCATCCCCAGCCTTCTCCTGCCTACACCCTGGTTCTAATGTACCTGCCCTAGGGTAAGTATTTGTTGAATGAATGAACGATGTGTGTGATCAGTTCTCAGCTATATACATTCCTTTACTAAGGCTGCTGACACAAATTACCACAAATTTGATGCCTTACAACACAGAGATTTACTCTCTGACAATTCTGCAGGCCAGATGTTCAAAATCAGTGTTTCTGGGCTGAAATTGAAATGATGGCAGGAATGAGCTTCTTTTGCAGACTGCAGTGGGAGTCCATTCCTTGCCTCTTCCTGCTTCTGAGGGCTCCTGGCATCTTGGCTTGTGGCCATGTCATTCCAGTCTCTGCCTCGTGGTCACATTGCCTCCTCTTCTGTGGTAGCCAAATCTCCCTCTCCCTCCCTCTTGAAAGAATACATGTGACTGCATTTAGAGCTCACCCTGAAAACCTAGGGCAATCATCTCCCCATCTCAAAATCCTTAGCCTAATCAAAGTCATTTTTTTTTAACCATATAAGATAACATGTAAGGTTCCAGAGATTAGGGTCTGATATCTATGGGAGCCATTGTTCAACCTACTACACTAAATAAAAAGGAAAAACAGCATAAACACACACACACACACACACACACACACACACACACACAGAATTATTTTGAAATTTTCTCTGTGTGTTTTGTTTTGTTTTGTTTTTGTTTTTGTTTTAAGATGTAGTCTCACTCCGTTGCCCAGACTGGAGTGCAGTGGTGCGATCTTGGCTCACTGCAACCTCTGCCTCCTAGGTTCGAGCGATTCTCCTGTCTCAGTCTCCCAAATCACTAGGATTCAGGTGCCCACCACCACACCTGGCTAATTTTTGTATTTTAGTAGAGATGGGGTTTTCACCATGTTGGCCAGGCTGGTCTCAAACGCCTGACCTCAAGTGACCCGCCCGCCTTGGCCTCCCAAAGTGCTGGGATTACAGGTGAGCCACCGTGCCCAGCCTTCACTGTGTTTTAAACCTGGGTGTGACTAAATTTCCAGAATTCATAGCATTTCAAGTAAAGAAGGCAGAATGTGAAAGGCTGACTCCATCCCCATCTGGCCCCCAGCCCATACTTCTCATCCTCCATGAGCTTCATTTAGAATTCACAGGAGGAATTTCAGGTTGCCTGGGGGCCAAACATAAATGAGAGGGAGCAGTCAGAGTTGTTTAAATGACTCTGTAACTGGAGTGTGTCCAAATCTGACAATAGAAGGGTGAAAGTAAGTTTTTCTTAATGCACTGATGCCCAATTCCATTGCAAGTTAACAGTATGTAAAGGGTTTCCAACCTTCCCAGGACCCCTGAAGGCAGCACTGAAAACAATCTACCTGCCATAAACTTTGCTGGTGTTTAAGAGGAGAAATGGGATTTAATGCTGTAGGCCACACCAGGAGCCCAAGAGTATGTCCCTAGCAAACTGATCTGTGCTGTGCAGAAAACCTTCTCTGCAAAGGGTGGCTGGAATTCCATCAGGCGTTGCCCCACACTTGGCATGTTAATTTAAGTAACAAGGATCAGGTCATCAATCCAGGAGGGTCAGAAGTCCCTCTCCCTTCTTGGCAAGTTAATGTGGCCTAATGTTTGTGTAAAGTCCACCTAGTCTTTTAAATAAATATACTTTACTCAGCAGGTTTTGACAAGTGTCATATATCCTTAATTCCTTTAAGCAATCAGTTAGATAACCTTTTTTCCCTCTCTTCTGTCCTAAAACAACAAACTTTTCCAGAAGGCTCACTAGCTGTAGGCACTATGAGAAACAGACCCTGCCCTTAAGGATCTCATATCCTGGAGTGGGAAAGAAACACATGTGTAGCTCATGCATGGAATGTGACTTCTGGATGTTTGGAATGCTGGTTTAAAAGCCTTAAGGCTGAAGGTGACAAACAGTAAGTGCCCCATTTTCCAAAGAGAGCTGCAGACAAGCCCCTGAAGAATTCACTGAAACATGGGAGAGCCTGTCCTATCGGGTTCACCCCATTGTCCTCCTCTAGCCTGCATAAAAGAAGACTAGAAATTTGCAGGAGAATTTGTGGAAGCAATGGGTTATGGTAGACAGAAAAATACTGTCCCTCTCCACAAAGATGTCCATGTGCTAATCCCTGAAACCTGTGACGATATCACCTTATGTGAAAAAAGAGACTTTGCAGCTGTGATTCAAGAATAAGGACTTTAAGATGGATTATCTGGGATTTTTCAGGTGGACCCAATCTAATCACATTGGAGAACCATTCCTGGCTGTTGTCACAGAGGGGGAATGTGACAACATAAGAATGGCTGGAGAAATCCAACACTGCTGGCTTCAGAGAAGGGCCTGGTGGAGGGCTCACTATCAAGGAGTGAAGGCTCTTGAAGCTGGAAGGGCCAGAAGATGTGTTCTCCCCTAGTGCCTCCAGAAGCAACACCACTGACACCTTGATTTTAGTCCAGTGAGACCCAGGTTGAACTCCTTGAAACTGGCTTTGCAAAAATTATAACAGTGAGAACATTATGACAGTGAGAGAGATCCAACTTGACCAACTCCATCTTGCCTTTTACCACCAAATGGCCCTTGGTCATGCCTGGCTGTGGGCCAAGCTAACTTGGGAGAAATTTAGTTTATAGTTTAAATAATGTTAGCCTTTTCCAAAACTAAATGCCTTCATAAAACTAATAAAAGCCCCCAAGTTTAAGATTATAAGAGGAGCCTGAATTCTGCTAACATGTAGATGTAGTTGAACAATTACCAGCCGCTGGTCTGGAGGTCACAAGATTTGTAAGTTCCCCAATTATTCCTGTAAATAACATCACTATTGCAGAACCTTAGATTGGCCTTTTGAGATGCCTTTTCAGGCTTTTGCATTTCTGATGGACTGAATGACTCCACTCAGACCTGAGTCTCAAGACTCAACCTCTCAACCAGTCCTGTGGCCCCATTCAGAAGGGATCTCAGTGCATAGTAGGGTAGGACCATTTTCCACCCTACCCTACTATGATTGTGTCCCTGACCAGTCAGCAGCACCCATTCCCTAGCCCCATGCCCACCAAACTATTCTACTGGAGGTCTGAGAGAGGATGTCTCAGCCTGGTGCACCGTATAGAGCTGGAGCCAGCTCCAGAACTTCCACAAAAGAACCTTTGAGGATGGACCTGCCATGGGGATTACTAGAGCACCAACCCCACAAGACACTGCTGCTGTCCCTCGAATTCCGTCTCCCCTTCCTAGCTCTGGAGACCCAAGCTAGGGAGAGAGAAGGAGCAGAAGATCAACTGGGAGGAAGAATGAACCAGGCCCTCTTTCCATCCCCACAATATCCTCAAATCACTAGTAAGCCTGAGCTGGGAGAGGAGATTCATGGAGCGGGGTTGAGATTGAGGTTTTGGTGTATGCTAGATTGGCCTTTTTACTAATCCCTAAATAAAGCTGTTTTCCTAACTGAAAGTAAGTGAAAATCTGTGGCTCTGCATGAAATGTAGTTAAGCAGTAGGGAAGGAAGAGACCACAGGACATGTTGGAAGGCAGCGAGGGGAGAAAGCAAAGCTCTTTCCTCTTGAACCCCACGCAGCTCAACCTGCTGGGGAATCTGGTTCTGATGCAACTAAACCCAGTAAGCATCATTACAGATGTATCTTGACTTCTGTAGGAGAGACCAGCTGGGAAGTTACACAGACCTCCCCTCCTCTCCTTTAAAAAAATTTTTTTAAATAAAACATTTCAGGCATGGTAATTCCCATCTGTAATCCCAGCACTTTGGGAGGCCAAGGTAGGAGGATCATTTGAAGCCAGAATTTCAAGACCAGCCTGGGCAATAAAGTGAAACCCTATGTCTGCAAAAAATTATTTTTAATTAGCCGGGCATGGTGGTGCATACCTGTAAGTCCCAACTACTCAGGAGGATGAGGCAAAAGGATCACTTGAGCCCAGGAATTTCAGGCTGCAATGAGCTGTGATTGCACCACTGCACTCCAGCCTGGATGACAGAGCAAGACTCCATCGGAAAAAAAAAAAAAAGCCAAAACAATGCCAAGAAAAAGATACAAAAATTGGGGGATGTTTCAAATATATGCATTTAGCAAACTAATGACTGTTGGTTAAAAAAATACAATCCAATATGGTTGTGTCGGTCATCATGGAGTCAGTTTATTACTTTAAAATAACTACAAGTTTATGATGTAGTGTGGCCAGTGTGATGGAGTAATGAGACATATTTAAAGGCCAATGATGAATCTTCTTGCTTTTCAATGCAGTCAGTGTATTATCCCTGTGTGTGTATGTGTACACACACACCATTCTGATAACCTCAGAAGTCCAGATTTGAGAAGGTGTGGCCCCAATCAAATGACCCTTCTGCCCCTAACCCCCACATTCCATGACCGGCCATAGCAGGTATAGGGGAGTTAAGGGAAATGTTCCCAGACAGTGACATTTGAACTAGGTCCTGAGAGATCAGGATGACTCCTCCAGGTAAGAAAGGGCATTCTGAGTCAAAGGACTCACCCTCTAAAAACACAGATGCTTGAGAGAACCTGGCATGTTGGCAGAGCCGATGGTGTGTTTCAGGGCTACGGAGAACAGAAGGCAATGAGAGAAGCAATGAAGACATAAATGACCCCAGATGCCAAAGGGCCTTGACTGTTGAGCTGGGGCTTCAACTTGATCCTGAGGACCCCAGGGAATAAAGGAGTTTTTGAAGCAGGATGAGATCAGGTTTAGAAGGTGACTCTGAGGGTGGCACAGAGGAGGGAGGCTGAGGCCTGACCCAAAAGAATGTGGCCTGGAGAGGGGCAGTCAGAGGGGAGAGAGATTTCTGAGGTGGGATCTGTCACGGCACAGTGGCCAGATTCTGCCTGGGGACAAAGCAGGGTCAAATGTGACTATAAGCCGCCATTTAGGAGCCCAAGAAATGTTATGGACCAAGACCTGGACTAAATCCATATGGGTAGATGAATTTGATTTTAGATGTTTTAGACATTTACATTCCATGTGAGTTACATGCCAGAAACATCCACTGAGGAGGACTCCAGACCCCTAGTCCCTTCCTGTGTCTTGAAATTCCACAACCTCAGGGGCCCGTGAAGTCAATTCTTTTCTTCTCTGCTTGGTTCTAGCGAGGGGTGAGCCTGAACTGGAGATAGCTGTGGGGAGCAAAGAGAAACAGGCCAGGGCTGCTTTTCTTCTAAAACATTTGAAGTATAGCCCAATTTCATTTATTCTCAAAGACCACTCTATCTAATCTATAAGAAAAAAATGATATGTGTGTATATAAATAAATTGTATATGTATGTATGCATGCCTGTAAAATAAGGTATATATGTATATCTTCTGAAATGATTATACCCCCAGTTCTTTAACAATCAACAATACTCTTGTACCAGGCTCAAGCCACTCTCCTGACTCCCATGGCTCAGAAGGCATAGAGGGTAGATAGTCAAGAGACCAACTCACCACTGTCATTTATATCATATAAATCTGTATATAACCTGACAGGGGGGTGGCAGTCACCAACATGTTAAGGATGATTACCTAGATGGCAGGATTTCAGGTGGTTTTTTCTCTTTAATATTTTATATACGGCCAGGCACAGTGGCTCATGCCTGTAATCCCAGCACTTTGGGAGGCCGAGGCGGGCGGATCACGAGGTCAAGAGATCGAGACCATCCTGGTCAACATGGTGAAACCCTGTCTCTACTAAAAAATACAAAAAAATTAGCTGGGCATGGTGGCACGTGCCTGTAATCCCAGCTACTCGGGAGGCTGAGGCAGGAGAATTGCCTGAACCCAGGAGGCGGAGGTTGCGGTGAGCCAAGATCGCGCCATTGCACTCCAGCCTGGTAACAAGAGCGAAACTCCATCTCAAAAAAAAAAAAGAATATTTTATATACAATTGTAATTTTTGTAATATACATATTTTTCCTGAAAAAAAAAAAAAAAAAGGTGAGCAGCCTGGGCAACATAGTGAGACCCATCTCTACAAAAAATTTAAAAATGAGCTTGGCATATTGGTGCATGCCTGTAGTCCCAGCTCCTCGGGAGGCTGCAGTGGAAGGACCACTTGAGCCCAGGAGTTTGAGGCTGCAGTGATCATGCCACTGTACTGCAGCCTGGGTGACACAGCAAGATTTCAACTCGAAAAAAAAAAAGGGAAGAAAGGGAATCAGCTTTACCTTATGTTACCAGTGGGAATTTCAGCAAGCAACTTAACTATGCCAGAAGCTGTAAGATAAACCTTTCATTTGAACCGACAAGTTTACTCCCAAGAATGCATACTAAAGAAGTACTCTGCATTCTACTACAACCTAATAATCACATTTCCAAACTTACAAAAATTGCCTAATTAAATGAAGGAGTTGTTTCGATGATTTATATATTTTGAAAAAGGAGGTGGGTAGATACTACAAGTTTCACATACACAGTAAAAAGTGATTTGTTTTTCTTACAGGAATTTTGATAATAAAGTATATCTTAACTGTATGTGCATTTTTATTGTTGCAAAATAAAGCAATTGACCTAAATTACCAAAGAATCTGAAATCACAGATAAAATCTGAAAAGAATACAGGTGATCAAAATAACTCCATTTCTGGGCCAGATGTGCTCCAACATGGCTGCACATTAGAACTGCTGGGAGGCTTTGTACAAATACTGATGTGGCGCTCCACCCCCAGGGATTCTGATTTAGCTGATCTGCAGCAGGGCCAGACAGCAGTGTTTCAAAAAACACATCTCTAGATGATTCTAATGTGTAGCTGGAGTTGAAAACCACCAGACCATTGAAATAAATTGCCACACAGCACATAATTCATAACTGCTGTAAAAAATCCAACACTAATGCAGCAACCAGTACTCCAAGGCACTGTGTTTCTATGAGGCCATTCAACGGGTTCCCTTTTTTTTTTTACTTTTCACTGAAGTATAACATCCATATAGAAGCATGCACATATTGCTGGGCATGGTGGCTCACGTCTGTAATCCCAGCACTTTGGGAGGACAAGGCAGGTGGATCATGACATTAGGAGTTTGAGACCAGCCTGACCTACATGGTGAAATCCCATCTCTACTAAAAATACAAAAATTAGCCAGGTGTGGTGGCACACACCTGTAATTACAGCTACTCAAGAGACTGAGGAAGGAGAATCGCTTGAACCTGAGAGACAGAGGTTGCAATGAGCCGAGATCGCACCACGACACTACAGCCTGAGCAACAGAGTGAGAATCCATCTCAAAAACAAAAACAAAAAAAGCAAAGAAACATGCACATATTATAAGCAGATAGCTCGACACATTTTTACCAAATAGACATACCCATATCACCAGCACCCAGATCAAAAAGGGGACTCTTACCAGCACTCAGTACCCTCTTGGTTCATTAAAATTGTTCAACAGTTCCCCCACCACTACATGCTTGCTGTTGATTCTTATTAAGTAATTGAGTTGTAACCAATAGTAATCCTTATAATGCAAATAATTTTCCTTAATTCATCGATCACATTATAGCTAATGTGAATTATAAAAACTTATATAGAAGAAATAATTACAAACATGTATTTAGCCACAAGAAGTTTATTAAATATCTAATCGCAGAATCCAGTTAAATAAATTAGCTAACATTCACATAAAACTGTCCGGTTTGTATGCTATGGCATAAGTAAGATAGGAAAATCAGAGTCCTTCCACAAAAAAAGATGGTTTGCTCTATCAGAATCCTAGAATAGCACTATGAATGGGCTAACTTTTGCCTGCTCCCCACCCACCCGCTGCTTGTCCGATTTATACACTGAAGCCCTAACCCCCCAGTACCACAGAATATGACTGCATTTGGAGATAGGGTCTTTAGAGAGGTGATTAAGTTAAAATGCAATTAGTAGTGTGGGCCCTAGTCCAATACGACTGGGATCCTTATAAGAAGAGGACATGAGCTGGGCCATGGGAGGGTGACCAGACTAGTGTGGGCTTCTGATGAAGGGAGACTCCCAGAGGGGCCTCAATGGTGGGAGGAGCCAGGCAGGGCCCCAGTTGTCTGTAGCCACCAGAGTGGAGAGGAAACCTCATGCTTGCAACACAAGTCCCTCATGTACACCTTTCCCTTGGCCCACACAGGCAACAGAGCCAGGTTCCTCTACCCAGCACCCGAATACCCAATCAAATGCACAGGGATTCCCACAGGAGCTGAGGAGTCCATTCCAGCCAGAGTGATCTGAACCAGCAGGTGGCCAAGATTCACCAAAATTTTTAGAAAAACAAAAATGGAAAAAGGAAAGCACCAGCTTCACCTCCAGAGAAATTTACATCTGGAGAAGCAGCATTCTTCAGTGGGGAAGCAGAGGGGAAACACTTTATGATACATGTAGTTAGTATTGTCAAACACATTTGAAACAGCAGCATATCCGGAAAGATAGATGACATATAGATAGATAGAGCCTCTGCAAAAAGTCATATTCAGAGGTCTTGAAAATTAACATTATGCATAATAAAACTTAAAGCCCTATAGAAGATAAAATTTCCATTCATCTGATTGCCCAAGTGAAAAATACTCCTGATAGTATCTAGAGTTGGTGAAGTTGTGGGAGCCACAGATTCTCAAACACTGTTGGTTTGACATAATAACAGTTTTTGTATGCTCAAATAATATGCACACAATAAATTTATTAGAAAACACAATGGTTTTTAAATAAATTATTAGTTTTTCTAATAAATTTATTTGCCTATTATTTGAATCAGCAATTCCCCAGCCTTAGCGAAACTCTCACACAAGCACAAATGCACATTGTGTTCTCTGCTGTACAGCTTCTAAAAAACAAAAAACGTAGAAGCACCTTTGATGTCCATCATTCGCGGGGTAGATGAATTCATTGTACATATCCCTACAAAGGTCTATTATTTATTTAGATTGCGGCATATCTAGAAATGAAGAAAGACCATCCATGTTCATTTAAATGTACTAAATATGCCACAACCTAAGTAAATTTCTTAAAACTCATTGTTGAGTTGAAAAGCTAGCTTAAGAAAAGTAAATTCAATATTTACTTAAAATTTTTTTAATCTTAGAATATGTTTTTAAAAAAACTATGAAAGAAACTATGAAAGGGGCTGGGTGTGGTGGCTCATGCCTATTTGTAACCCAGTACTTTGGGAGGCCAAGGCAAAAGGGTTATTTGAGGCCAGAAATTTGAGAACAGCCTGGGCAACATAATGAAACACTATCTCTAGAAAAAATTAGCTGAGACAAGGCACGGTGGCTCAAGCTTGTAATCCCAGCACTTTGGGAGGCTGAGGCAGGTGGATCACCTGAGGTTGGGAGTTCGAGACCAGCCTGACCAACATGGAGAAACCCTGTCTCTACTGAAAATACAAAATTAGTGAGGCGTGGTGGTGCATGCCTGTAATCCCAGCTATACAGGAGGCTGAGGCAGGAGGATCACTTGAACTCGGGAGGCAGAGGTTGTGGTGAACCAAGATTGTGCCATTGCACTCCAGCCTGGGCAAGAAGAGCAAAACTCCAACTCAAAAAAAAAAAAATGAGCCTGGCATGGTGGTTCACACCTATAGTCCCAGCTATTCAGAAGGGTGAGGTGGGAGAATCACCTGAGCCTGGCAGATTGAGGCTGTGGTGAGCCATGATAGCACCAGCATGGATAACAGAGTGAGACATATCTCAAAAAAAAAAAGAAAAGAAAAAGACCAGTGGATGGTGGAATATAAACACACACACACACACACACACACACACACATGCACACACGCTCACACACACATTTATATGTGCTATAGTCAAAATAAATGGAAAAGCATGCATGTTTACAACAGTAATTCCCTTGGGGACCGTGAGCAAAAAGTAGTAGCAAAGTGAACAAAAGGGGACTGAAATTTGTATTGTTAATATTTTATTTATTTTATTAAAAAGGAACCAAAGCAAATGTGACAGAATGTTGATGTTTATTAATTCTGAGTAATGGGTACATGAGTGTTTGCTATGTTATTGATATGGTTTGGCTCTGTGTCCCCAACCAAATCTCATCTCGCATTGTAATCCCCACGTGTCAGAAGAGGGGCCTGGTGGGAGAGTACTGGGCCACGGGGGTGGATTTCGCTCTTGCTATTCTCATGGTAGTGAGTTCTCACAAGAGCTGACGATTTTAAATCGTAGCATTTCCTCCCAGCTTGCTCACTCTCCTGCTGCATGTGAAGAAGGTCCTTGTTTCCCTTTCTGCCATGATTGTAAGTTTCCTGAGGCCTTCCCAGTCATGTGGAACTGTGAGTCAATTAAAACTTTCTTCTTCTTAAATTACCCAGTCTTAGGTAATTCTTTATAGTAGTGTGAAAACGGACTATTACAGTTATCTTCTGTAATTTGCCATGATTTCTAACTTTTTCCAAGTGAAGAAAACCCTTTAATAGATGGATTGATTAATAAAATGCACAGAACTGAGAGTGCTTTAATAAACTGGAATATTGAGGCAAGTGATCCACCTAGAACCCAGTGCAAAATTCCAAAAGTTGAAATGTGAAAGATGAAAACATGAACACACAAAAAAGAACATGAAGTTTCAACCTCTATCTCAACATATATCCAGAAGGTGACTGGATAGAGAAAATAAGTATACAAATTATACAAAGAACTTTTCAAAGCTAAAAGAAAGTGTGAGTTCTTCATATATAAGGGCCTGTGAAATACTGAAAAGAAATATGGGAGTGGGCGAGGAGGATTTGGAACAAAACATATTGATGAAATAAAAAATAAAAATAAGGAAGAAAGAGGGGATTAAAGAAAAAAATTTCAAAAAGAAAAAAGATTCCTCGTTTAACTTCAAAGGAAGAAATAAATAGACATTAAACTTCTCAAATGCAATAAATATAAAATTATATAAAGCATGATGTCATAAAGTTCTGCAGAAAAAATTTCTAATCTAGAATTTTGTACTCAGACAAAAAGTGATTTAAGTACAAAATAGAAATTATTCCTAGATGGACAAGAACTCAGAAAGTTTCTCTCCATGAAGTCATTTTGCAAGAGTGTCTAGAGGATATACTCCAACAATAGGAAAAATAAGCTGAAGAAAGGGAAATATCAAACAGTGGTGTTCAAAGAAACGAGTAAAATTTGAGCCCAAATGACTACTGAAAATACAGCTATAAAGCTTAATGGATTGTTAGGAAAGACTTCCATCTGTTAAACTCCAGCTTTCAACAAAACCTGCGAGTGGGTAGAGGGAGTTGGTGCATGGAGAGGGAAGAAAGACACGATGAAGCATCGGGAGAGTAATATGTACTGATTCATTCTCAGCATTGATAGAAACTACATACTTCTAAATGTGTTGAGTAAAATGTTTAAAAACATGCTTGAAGAAGGAATAAAAACAGAATGAATATTTTTCACCACTAATGGCTAGAAAAGAAAATAGTCAACCAAGCTAAAGAAGAAAAGTGAAGGAAACAAGGAAGCATAATAAAACCAGCAAAATAAGATGGCAGG